AACTGACTCATTCACTCAAAGGGCTGTAATGTAGCCTTACTGAAATATGTAGGAGGTTACTGTACGTGACTCCCATGAACAGTTCAAACAATACCAGTGAAGTCATTAGCAGTGCAAGTAGTCACAAGAGAGAGCGTGCATGCACAACTCTGGAAGAGCTTTTTTTCTTTTGAACAAAATGCATGGCCACTAATAGGGTGCAAAATAGACAATTTATATTATTATTAATCATTCATTTATTTTATTTTCGGCTTAGTACCTTTATTAATTAGAGGTTGCCACAGTCAAATGAACCGCCAACTTATCCAGCATATGTTTTACGCAATGGATCCCCTTCCATGTGCAATCCATCACTGGAAAACATTCATACATAGTCATTTACAAACATACACTACGGACGATTTAGCTTACCCAATTCATCTATAGCACATGTGTTTGGACTGAGGGGGGAACCGGAGCACCCTGAGGAAATCCACACGAACATGATGATCATACTAACTCCACATAGAAATGCCAACTGACCCAGCCGAGACTCAAACCAGCGACCTTCTTGCTGTGAGGCGATTGTGCTACCCACTGCACCACCGTGACGCCCACCAGGCTATTATTTATTCATTTTCCTGTCGGCTTAGTCCCTTTATTAATCCGGGGTCGCCACAGGGAAATGAACCGCCAACTTATCCAGCGAGTTTTTACGCATTGGATGCCCTTCCAGCCGCAACCCATCTCTGGGAAACATCCACACACATTCAAACACAAACACTCATACACTACGGACAATTTAGCCTACCCAATTCACCTGTACCATATGTCTTTGGACTGTGGAGGAAACCGTAGCACCCGGAGAAAACCCACGTAAAGGCAGGGAGAACATGCAAACTCCACACAGAAATGCCAACTGAGCCGAGGTACCTACTGCGTCACTGCCTCTCCCAGACTATTATTACATTGCAATTTTAAACAGTCCTGCCCCAAAATGCATTTTCCATTTTTGTAATTTGCCGTTTTTTAAACGACTAGTTTTTACTCCAAGGTAATTTATAATTTTCCTCTACAATTCTACAATTTTCTTATGATCGCTTTGTGCATTATACATTCATTAACTTTCCTTCAGTTTAGTCTTTATTTTAGAGGTCGCCACAGCGGAATAAACCCCCAACTATTCCTGCATGTGTTTTACCCAGTGAATGCCCTTCCAGCCGCAACCCAGCACTGGGAAGCACCCATACACTCTTATTCTCACACACACACGCCAATTTAGTTAATTCAATTCCCCTATAGTGCATGTGTTTGGATTGTGGGGGGAAACCGGACCACCCAGAGGAAACCCAGCTGGGGCTAGAACCAGCGACCTTCTTGCTGTGAGGCAACAGTGCTAACCACTGAGCCACCATGATGCCATCATTTGCATTGTACAGTTGAAGGTAAATATTTTAATCATATTTCTCAAATTTCCAGCGATATCTCACGGCAATTTGTAACTTTTGGATTTAGTGGCTAATTCTTGTGAAATCGTATGATCTCATTTGTACAGTTTAGTATGATTTGCTCATGCCTCAATGACGGTTGGGTTTAGCGGCGGGGTTGAGCGCCACACCTTCTTTTAAAAATCGGACATTTTCGTATGATTAAACTCGTACAAATAAGTACAACAGAGATTTTATTTTAACACATATTAAACATCTAAAAGGGGTTATAGGGTTAGGGTCTAGTAACTAATTTCTAGTAACTATTTTTGACAGTATTTACCATAGCTTTCTATTTAAAGACTTAATTAGTCATTCTGTAGCAATATTTATTTCTTAAGGGTGTTAATAATATTGACCTTAGTGGTTTTTGCATTTATTATTATTTATTTTTTATTATTATCCTAGCTAAACAAACAAAACAAAACAAAAAGACTTTTTGCAGAAAACAAATTAAATAGGAAATACTGTGTAAAAAGTCTTGTTCTGTTCAACATCACTTATGAAATATCTGAAAAATAATTAATATTAATTTAATTATTATTAATATTAATATTAACTATATTTTAAGTCAGTTTGAATAATTTATATATACTGTATATATTTCTGTTTAACGGAGAGAAGATTTCTAACACATTTCTAAACATAATAGTTTTAATAACTCATTTCTAATAACTGATTTGTTTTATCTTTGCTATGATGACAGTAAATAAAATTTTACTAGATATTTTTCAAGACACTTCTGTACAGCTTAAAGTGATATTTAAAGGATTAACTAGGTTAATTGGGCAGGTTGGGTAAGGCAAATTGTTTAACAGTGGTTTGTTCTGTAGACTATCAAAAAAATATAGCTTAAAGGGGCTAATAATTTTAATCTTAAAAAGGATTTAAAAAAATTTAAAACTGCTTTTATTCTAGCTGAAATAAAACAAATCAGACTTTCTCCAGAAGAAAAAATATTATCAGACATACTGTGAAAATTTTCTTGCTCTGTTAAACATCAATTGGGAAATATTTAAAAGGAAATAAATTCAAAGGGGGGCTAATAATTCTTTCTTTAACTGTATATATTTTACAATGAATAAATATGGAACATTATTTAACAAATATTTTCACACTTTTGTTTTCACTTTCTCATCTAACATATGCATCATGATATTATCCGAAAATGGGCCATATATTCATTCCATGCATAATATACAAGGACACTGATAAATTACTAGAAAAGTATTATCTGAAGGCTGAACAGTTGATTATAAAGCCAGACCGGCACTATAATGTTTCCTCTTGTCAAAGCAGTAAAGGGAATGTCAGCTCGTGTCATAAAGAGCATTGCAACATATGCAGAAATCAGTCTCAAATTATGTAATCCCGATCAGTCACCATGGATCCATCTGCACATACTGTGCATTATTATAGAGTATTATAAGCACACAAATTCCCTGTTTTACCTTTTTTCACTTTGTATTCTGTTAACCTTAGCTGTACCGTACATAATCCAGCTATAACTTATTATTATTATCTAACACAATTTAGATCACTTTTAACATTAATATAGAGTCATATATTTTGAAAGTAATATACAGCAATAATATTAATTATCATATTTTGTCAGCCAAACTAAAAGAAATAAGAAATAAAATCAATAAAATGCTAATTAAAAATTACAATTACAATAAAAAAAAAAACAATACAGTGAAAATAGTCCATGCGTTGTTAAAAATCCCTTGGCAAATATTTGAAAAATAATTTAATTTCATCAGAGGTCTAATTAATTTGTCTTATTTAAAGTACAGGTCAGAATAAATATTAATTGATGTCAAATTTAAAATGCAAAAATCATCACATTAAATCTAAATGTTGCTATCAGACTGGCCAGCAGGTGGAGAGCGCCTCTGAAATGACCTTTGTGAAAAAAGTGGCACAGTGGGTTAAAACAGCACACAATGATTTATAATGAATTTACCAACAGGAAAAGGGTGCCACAGAAAGATAAGAAGCTTCAAATTTAAACCAACTAGTCAAAATCCTCTTTAACCTAAAATAGCTCCGTGTCTGTGTGTGTATGTGTGTGTGCCTTGTATTCCTCACACTGCATTGACCAAAATGTCCCAACCAGAATAGAAATTTCAGTCAATTTTGACCATATGGATACATTTTTTGGTCCTCATGAGGAAAACGGCTCATAAATCACAGCGAATAACGTATTTTGGAAATGTAAAACTGTTGGGTTTAGGGTTAGAGAGATATAATATACAGTCTGTACAGTATGAACATCATTATGTCTATGAGAAGTCCCCATAAAATAGCTGCACAAGTGTGTGTGAGTATGTGTGTGCCTTGTATTCCTGACACTGTAGAGACCAAATGTCCCCACAAGTATAGCAATATCAGTACATTTTGACCTTGTGGGTACAATTTTTGGTCCTAATGAGGAAAACAGCTCATAAATCACACAGAATAACGTATTTTGAGAATGTAAAACTGCTGAATATTTTCTGTGAGAGTTTGGTTTATGGTTATGACAGAATATACAGTCTGTACAATATAAATATCATTACGTCTATAAGATGTCCGCATAAAATAGCTGTACAAGTTTGTGAGTATGTGTGTGCCTTGTATTTCTGACACTGTAGAGACCAAATGTCCCCACAAGTATAGCAATATCAGTCAATTTTGACCTTGTGTGGATTTTTTTTTTGTTCCCCATGAGGAAAACGGCTCATAAGTGACACAGAATTACATATTTTGACAATGTAAAACTGCTGAATGCTTTCTGTGAGACTTTAGTTTAGATTTAGAGAGACGTAATATACTGTCTGTATAGTATAAACGCAATTACGTCTATGAGAATCCCCATAAAGATAGCTGTACAAGTGTGCGCCTTGTATTGCTCACACTGTGGAACTAAATGTGGAACTAAATGTCCCCACAAGTATAGCAAAATAAGTCAATTGTGAACTTGTGGGAACATTTTTTGGTCCTCATGAGAAAAACGGCTCATTAATGACACAGAATAACATATTTTGACAATGTAAAAGTGCAGAATATTTTCTGTGAGAGTTGGGTTCAGGGTTAGAGAGACCGAATATTCAGTCTGTATAGTATAAATGTCTATGAGAGTCCCCATAAAGATAGCTGTACAAGTGTGTCTGCACATTATGACGTGTCATGAGAAGATGGTGAATTATGAGGACATGGCTGATGTCCCCATTTTTCTTTTAGTAAGTAAAAATGCAACCACATGTACACAAAATGTCCTGTTAATGGTAGAGTTATGTGTATGATTGGGGTATAGGGCCATAGGAAATACAGCTTGTACAGTATATAAAACAATAAAACAACCTTTCCCCACAATTCACAAAAGCAAACCTGTCTGTGAGTGCTTTGTGCGTGTGTGTGTGTGTGTGTGTGCTGTGTCTTGGTTTATGGGAGGGGAAAAGGAGAGTAAAGCAGAAGGGGAGGGTCGAGGGCTTGTTCTGCCTCTATAAAGAGAAGCAAAACCCGAGTGTGTGTAGAAGCCAGACAGGAGGCTGAAAACTGCGAGTGTGTTCAGTACTTTGACCTGTAGCTGAAACAGATCGGCTCACGTTTTGTTCACTGGATTTAACCACAGGGAGGATTTTATTTCACCTAACAAGGTGAGGCTTTTTTTCTTCTTCACATGCCTATTTAAACCCTTTGCTTTCTGTGTAGCTTCCCCTCCTCCTTTTATGATACAAGTGTGTACACTAGGACAGGTGTGTAGCAGCAGATGGGCTCCATCATTATATATAGCCAAAGAGCTTGATTTATAAAGTAAAAGTAGTTAAAGTTAGTTTAAAAGCATTGTTTTGCATTTCAGATTGAAGGTTTTTGACTCTAGAATATTTTACATGAGTCTTAAGGTTTTCAAAGTATTTTTTCTATTGTATTTGTTAATGTTTAGTTACTTTATAGTGATTTTACATTGTAAAGCTAAATTAATCATTATTGATGAACAAAATTGTAAGCTGTATAGGGCTAATTTAAAAAAAGTAGCTGAAAATTAACTTCAATTGTTTTAAGATCAATCGTTTGGTATAACATTGGTTTTGGTAATGTTTACTAAGCTGAAATAATCATTGGTAAACAAAATCGTATACTTGTAGACTATACACGGACCTACTTTTAACAATTAGGATTTTAACCAAGAATATTGGAAACATTTAGTGACATGATGAACTTTAGTTATGGATTAATGTTTTTAAAGTTTGCTTTATTAAATCTATTAGCTAACATATCATGAAAAAATCTGAATGCACATAAAATAATGAGTTTTAAATAATTAATGACTGCTTTTAATTGGCAAATCTTACCTTGAAATATTTAACCCTGTGTCATTTTTAACACTGGGTGAAGAGAATCATGGATCACCATCATCAACATCATCATCATTCTTCACGTTTCAGGATGCTTAACTTTAAAATTAATTATTGGTTTTCGTATATTGATGCTGGAATTACGACTTAATTGGCATATTCGCACTGTCGAAGTCATTGATTGGTTGAATGTTGTGCGTGATTTGTTTACATGCTAAACATACTTGAGGTAAGAATTAAACAGTGCTGTCTATTTTTTTACTTCAGTTTACTGTTTCCCATCATCACTTGACTGTTAGGTTTCTTAAATCAGCCGGATAACAATTAAATATCCATTTTCGTGATTTGATGCTGGATTAACGGCATCCTCAGTTGCCTATTCACTGTCGAAGTCATGATTGGTTGAATGCAGTACATTTGTTTACATTTATGCTAATACTTCACCCAAATTCACTTACTTCGCTGCCGAATGCTAACAATATTACTAAACATACAAAGTCGAGGTGAGACTGTGGTGTCTTTTTTACCGCAGTTTATTCCTGTCATCACTTGTCGTTTTTAAAGCGCTGTGTTATAAGCACTGTTTGCGGGACAGTTGTGCGCGTGAATATGAGGCACGCGATTCGCTGTCGGTTAACAGCAACAACACTAAACGTGTAAACAGAATTTATAAATGCGAAAACTGTTCCTTTGCTCGAAAAATAACGACAAATATGAATGTTTTTTGCTATTAAATGTCCCTCAGGTGGAGAACAGATGTATATACTTTCATTCTGTCAATTTGTACATCAAAAGTAGTTAGTGTTTAATTTGGTGGAGGCGTTTAATTCAGCTCAGGAGCTTGTGTCATATCGCTGATATGCATGGCATCCGCAAGAAAGTTTCCTCATTCCGCTATCTGGCTGTTATTTAATCTGGAACCTTCTAGACCTGCTCTCAAAGTCCACGAAGTGTCATTCCTTAGTCACAAAGGTATTTTGAATATCAGCATGTTGTGTCAACAAAGACGAGTTAATTTTAAATCCTTATATTTTTGTTGGTGAAATTTAGACATTAAAGGTGAAGTAACAACCATAATCTCATTTTTAGCATTAGTTTCTTATTAAATGCAGTTTAAAATTACATGATTCCGAGCTGAATTTTCAGTATCATTACTGCAGTTTTCAGTGTCACGTGATCATTCAGAAATCATAAAATGCTGATCAATTATTAGTAATTATATTGTATTATATATATATATTATATTGCATTATGAATGTATTTACAGTTTTAATGATACTTTCGAATGGTACTGTATCACTGGATATAAATATAAAGCCATTTTCAACACTGAAAATATTATTATTCATGTGACAGTGAAGGCTCAAGTGATGATGCTAAATTAATTTAGATTAGATTAGATTCAGCTTTATTGACATTCATTAAACATGTACAAGTACGAGGCAACGAAATGCAGTTTAGGTCAAACCAGCGGTGCAATAGCAGCAAGTGCAGGATATAGATATAAGTTATAAAGTGCAATTATAGCAAAACTATGGTGATATTTACAGATGGATGTACTTTGAACATTATGTACAGGTTGTATTGACTATGAACAGAGATTTAAAATAGATGAATATATACTGTAGGTTGCTATTAATAATCTGACGTATGCAGATAGATATGAACATAATTACAAATGTATATGTGTAGGGGGGTATGTACAATTTAAGATGAATTTGTGCAATGAATACGTACAATTTATATGTGCAAATATTAAACAGTGCAGTGATTATGTGAGTATAAGTTATGAGAGTGTAATTTAATTGTAACATACATTCAATAAAAAAAAAACTGGTATTGTAAATACTAATAGTATTTCACAAATTTTTGATCAACTAGTTGTGTACATTATGACTGATGTTTACCAGAGTGATCGCCATGACAGCAGGGTCGAGCATTTCTTTCCCTCCATCGCTGAAATGCCACCATGACACTCCTGTCATATGTTTGAGTGTGTTAAGGCTGAGCTCAGGTCAGCTAAAGGCACAGTCATGCAGAAAACTGCACAGCAATGGACTTTGTTTCCGGGGCCGTTCTTTGTCTGCATGGGGACATTGTGCACAGTGGGCTGATTGGATAACTAATGAAGCTATTTTTGTAATTTGCTCGCCACCCCCTCGTCTTTTCAAGACTCCTCTTGTTAAACCAGAGACCAATACGAGCAGCTTGAAGACAATTGTGTGTGATCTGAAGACATTGTTCTTGGGGAGGAGGATCAGTGAAAGTGGGGTGTGGTGATTTGGTCAATTAAATGAGGAGGAAGAGGAGGAAGGCCGACCCAAACAATGACCTTTTTAAAAAGGCTATTTAACTTTAAGGCCATATGTCATTTCAAAAGATAATAAAAAAAAGCTGTATACACTTGTAAAGATTTTTAAAGGTTAAAATGCCGTAAGACAATAATATTGTGTAATTTGTTGAATTACTATTCTAAATTTTAAAATGCATTGTATTCCTTCAAAATGATATCCAGTTTTCAGAGTCACTCGATCCATTTGAATGTATAGTAATTAGTGGTGTAACGGATCACAAATCTCACGGTTTGGATCACATTATAGTTTTTTTAGTCATGGATTAAACCATTTTTCGTATCAACAAAAAGGGAAGCAGACAAATGTAATTTGCTTTTCATTTATTACAGAAAAAGTCCTGCAAGAAGCTTTTGGTTTTAACAAGCAGAACTTAGAAGCTGCAATTGTATTAAATATATAATGAAGAAATAACCAGCTGAATAAAAATAATAAGTAAAATATTCAGTACTGTGAAATATTCACTGTTACTGATAACGCTAAATGTTCATTCATTCATTCATTTTCTTTTCGGCTTAGCCCCTTTATTAAAATAAAACGGAACCGTTATCGCCACAGCAGAATGAACCGCCAACTTATGCATCACGTTTTACGCAGCGGATGCCCTTCCAGCTGCAACCCATCTCTTGGAAACATACACTCATTCACACACTACGGACAATTTTAGCTTACCCAATTCACCTGTGCCGCATGTCTTTGGACCGTGGGGGAAACCGGAGCACCCGGAGTAAATCCACGTGAATGCAGGGAGAACATGCAAACTCCACACAGAAACGCCAACCGACCCAGCTGAGGCTCGAACCAGCGACTTTCTTGCTGTGAGGCGACAGCACTACTGCGCCACTGCGTCGCCAACGCTAAATGTATAAAGTGTATATTTAGTATAAAATGTATATTTAGTCCAAATTTCAATAAATGATTTAGTTATTCACTCAAATCTTCATGTTTTGTTGCTAGATGGATTTTGAAGAATTATTCAGTGGCTTATTTTTGATGGCTTATTGTCGCCATCGGTTAATTAATGTAATTGCTGCCTACAACTTTCATTTTTGTGCAGCGTTAAATGCATACGAAGGTGATTTTAATTTTTATCGTAAGCATCAGTGGTTTTATCTAAACCATGAACTGTTATCCCAGTTCTTCTGTGTTATTTGACACGTCATAACTAACTCAAAAGACTAAAGACTGAATCTCTTAGGATTAATAAACATATGCAAATTACCATCATTTATAATTTGTCACGTGGGTGTAGATATTCAGTTCTTTTATTGATTAATTCTGCAGCTTACTCTGAATACATAAATGCCGGCTGGACAAGTAGTGACAGAAAATACCTTTAATAACCTAAGAAACCCACCATATCCAGAATAACCCACCACAACTTCTTCCGTCATCATATTTTACAGACAAGCCTAAATGCTTTCTTATATGTTGTTGACGCGAGAGGAGTCTCTCTGCAATCGTTACAAATTTGGGATTAATCTACAAGTTGAAAAAAATGTATTAATCCATGGGTCACGTGTGTTCTGAACTGTGGGTTGCAGTCCGTACGAGTCACGGATCAACCGTTATCCGTTACACCCCTAATAGTAATGCATCACAATTATAGTATTACTGTAATTATTTTGCAGTTATTATTGTAAATGTAACCTTTTTGATTATCAAATAATTAATTGTGTGTTTCCATATTAATGTAAACTAGCAGTAAATGTTTTTAACATTAAGATTCGTAAGAAACATTTAATTATAAACAATTATTGATAATTAAACTGATTTCTGTGATTGAAGGCTGATGAATGATGCTGAAAATTCAGATTTTAATATTCGTTTAAACCAACTACATTTATTCATTCATTCATTCATTTTCCTTCGGATTAGTCCCTTATTTTTCAGGGGTTACCACAGCAGAATGAACCGCCAACTATTTCAGCATGTGTTTTATACAGCGGA